GTGTTTCATCAAACTTATACCTGTGGTTTCTCAAGATCCTCTAGTCTGTTTCATAATTGTTCAATTTCAGCTTAAATTCATCAAGATCAGTGGGTTTATCTCTTCTTTCTGGTTGGCCGCATGTGCCTGTCTGTGGGACTTTTGTGGAGTGTACTTAAATCTTCATTACTTATTTGAGGTATTGGGCTTGCCACCAAGTTTTCAATATATCTGTCTTTGGTGTATTTGAGGTTTTTATAAAAGTACAACAAAGATTGTCCATATTTTTGACATTAGGACCTGAATTTTTAATTTGGCTAAGTTCTTTTATCTATTGGCATGGCTTGAGCCTCTGAAGATCAGTGCTAAGTTATCAGTTGAGTGGACTTCTAAAATGACCTGTCTCATGCTCTCTTCTACAGATACATTAGCAATGGATTCATGTAGTGATGATATTTCATCTTTTTCTGAATTTGGATCCTTACTTGATCAAACTCTTAGTTGAGTCGTGCTAAAAAGTGATAGGTACAATCTTTATCCGCAAATTGCTTGAGGTGAGCTGCATTCTTGCTGCGATCCATTGTGAGGTTGCGGTACTGGTTCAATTCCTGCCACCAACTTCTTAACATGTTAGAGTATTTAGTGACTGACTTATTTTCTTGCTTTATGGACCTTGTTTTGATGTTCAAGTGATAGATCAGTGCTGCATCTTTGACTTTAGAATTTGTTTCTCTGATTGCAACTCATATTTCTTTTGCTATAGACATAAACATCACCGTTTTATTTCTCTGGCATATTGAATTCTAGAGCCAAGCCATAATCATTGAGACTTCTTCATCCCAAGCATCAAAGATTAGATCTTTTGGTTTTGGTTTGAAGTCTAGAAGGTGGTTGAATTTTCCTTTTTCGTTGGGAGTAATCCTACTTAATTGTAAGCCAACTCAAGTTGTCCTTCTCAGTGAAGCAATCAATAGCCTTGGTTGGCTAAAATTCGTTATTCTTCAGTGTGGAATTTTTCATGTAGAAATTTGTTCTAGTAATTTGGAAGGTAGTCTCTTACATATTTTAAGAATTGTAGGGTAGTTAAGGCTGAATAATAATAGATCACATGAACAACTTTTCAAGGAGGCTACGAGGCTAACAGCAATGGGCAGAAGAGTGGGTGGCTGTTCTGTGTGGTTGGCAACAAAGGGGCTGGCCTGTGACTGGAGGTAGCTGCAAGCTGTGGGCTAGCTGGATGGAGCAACCGCTTCTGGAGTAGCTGAGAAGGAGGGTGGCGCACAGGTTCTGCTGGCTGGACAGAGGCACACACTATAAGAGGGGCAATGGCTAGCTGCTGTGTGGAGCAGGTCTGGCCATGTGGAGGGTCTGATGCTGATGATGAAGTCCGTCTTGGTTGCTGGTAGCCGGCGGCTAAATTGTGGTGGCCGGCAATGAAGGCTGGTCTCTTAGGATTTTTTGTTTTATTTCGACTAGGTAGGCTGACTAGGGTTTGTGAATGAGGTTTAGAGTTTTTTCTTAAAGCTCTGGTATCATATTAAAACTGGTTTATTGTGTATTTTATTGAATATAACATTCCTATATATATAGATTTTCTAAAATAAAAAAAATAATTAATTACATAAAATGTAATTTATCCTAAAATCCTAGTTAGACATAATTCACTTTCTTTAAATCTTTTCCTAGAAATGTCCATGCAACACATAAAATGTACCTTCAGGTGGTTATCTTTCGTGCAGTTATATTAACATGGTGTTGAAGATTATAAAGTGACTTCTTTTTTGTCATACATTAGCTAGCATAACCATTATTTTAAAATGAACTGGATTTTTATTTCGTCATGTCAAATACATACTATGACTTCATAACACTTGGATATTGAGACGTTTAGTGAGTATCATTTCACTTATTTCTTGGAAAAGTTGTCTAGCCCATAGGACAAACTGCCTTTCTACTTGTTCAAGCATGAAATTTTTTTTTTGTCAATTTCTTCCCTTATTTTGTCTTTTGTGACCTTCAAATGATTTATTTTCATCTCTAATTGATTAGGGGCTGAAGTGGTATGCAAAGTGTCTTAGAGTTGATGAAGATGGAGATGTAGCTGATGAGTTCCTTGATGAGGTCTTGCCGGCATCATCAAATTTAGAAGACCAGCATAGAGCACAGTTAAAGTTTGAACCAAAGTACAGTACGAGAGCAGCCAAAGTGAAGAACCAGATAATAACTGCGGATGGGAAAATTCAGCAGTGTGTGGAACATCAAGGTAGATTGCAGTGGGTATGAGGATCTCCCCTCTAAAAGCTATCATGGAGTAGACCTGCAGTTGGGTTCCTTTTCTTTAGTAAATTGCAAAAGTATGTTAGTTCGTTGGAATTGATTTGTGCTTGACGTGAACTATGATACCTTTACTGATGTTTTCAAGTTGTTCCTGAGGGAATTCGCACCGAATCTTCTAAATTGTTTGGAAGTTGTAACTGCTATTCTGGGGACGTAAGAGTAAAATCTGTCTAATCAAACAAATGGTGTTTGTAACAGGGAGAGATTTCCTCTTTCTTTCGCTCTCTTTTTCAGAATGTACTCAACTAATTAGTAATTAAGACATTACTCGTTATGAGTTTGAACCCTTTCTCTCTACTGTTCCAGCTGATATACAGGGGAGGGGGTATATGGTTTTTTTTTTTGGGAATAATTTGGGTATGTGGGTTAACCAACCAATCAAATCTCCTAGTTTTGATCTGTCAACATTTCCATTCAATCATACTTGGAGGGAGAAGTAGAAAATGATCAGTCCGTTTTAAACAAATTGAGATTGGAGAATTTATCAACTGGATTATTGAGAGGCAAAAGCGAAATGTGGATGAGTGAAACTTGCAAGTTATACCCTTCATTAACTTGGTGGAACTTCGTTTCTTTTTCACTTATATTAAGACAGTCATATCTAGAATAAGGTGGTTCTTTGTTGTGATATTTGAAGAATAGTCACGGTTAGGAGTGTGCCATGTGTGTTATTCAATTAAAAGCTGAAATTGATTCATTATAGCATGTTGATCTTTAGTTAATGATCAAGAAAATATTAGAGGTCCAATTGTCCAGCAATCATTCTTCCAAAGGATGTACATTATTATCCGATGAATCCTCTAAAATTATGACAATAATTGGTGATTTCTTGTAGGGCAAGCTGGAAGAAGGCATGGTTCAAGAATTAAGTACTGATAGATGCTCAGAAAACACAAGAAGGACTGCAAACGAAAGCTTCTATTTTTGAGATGAAAAATCTACAATTTTCTTATTAATTAATACTTGTCTCATCCATAATTTGATAGGGGTTTAAATAGGAAGGAAAACAACTTATCCCTGTTATCCAGGGAGCACAACGGCTAGTAGCAACCAAATAATCTCAACAAATTAAAAAATAAAATAATACTGGAAATAAATTAAAAAACAGAAGATAAGTTGATGTTGAATAGTTGACCGGGTCTTGAGGAAGTTTTGCTTGCTTCAACAATACCAAAATAAGAGATACTTGGAATTCTTGACTAAGATCCTTGCTGATCTTTTAGTTGTATCATTGCCTCCCTCTTTTGCAGGAACCTTGTCCTCAAGGTTTAAGTGACTAAATTTATTTGTTAGTTCGCTGCTATTTTCCTAGGTAGCTTCTTATGGGGGAAAATTCTTCCATTGGACAAGACTTTCATCAACAAATTTTGCTCCCTTTTTGATCCATCGGGTTTCCAAAATGGTTTGGGGTTCCAGCAGTAGGTCCCCCATCTTCAGATATTTCGGTAGATTTTTAGTAGGGGCAATTGCTTCACCAATCTGTTTTTTTAACATGGAGACGTGGAAAACAGGTTGGATACGCGACCCTTATAGAAGTAGAAGCTTGTAAGTAACGGGGCCAATACGACAGAGGATCTAATAAGGCCCATAGTATCAACATGCGAGCTTCTGGAAGGCTCTCTTGAAAACCATTTGCTGCCGATATAGTCGGAGCCTGAAAAAGACCCAGTCGCCCTCCTGAAATTTGACTTCACGTCGATGGGCATTGGTGGTGGCTTGCATGTGATTATTGGCTGCTTGTAATTAGTTCGATGTTGTTTGAGGAGGGCATCTCGGTTACAAAGCTGTTAGTTAATTTCATTGACAAGGATTGAGCCGTCTTGGTAACAAGGAATAGGCGGTGGCGATCTCCCATATAAGGTCTGAAAAGGCGTCATCTTGATAGAGGAGTGGTAGGTTGTCTTGTACCAAAATTCGGCCTAAGGAAGGAGAGAACTCCACTTGCATGATTGTTGGTGGCTTAAGCACCGTAGATATTGTTTCACACTGCGGTTCACAACTTTTGACTGTCCATCTGTTTGCGGATGGTAGGAGGAGCTCATTTGGAGCTAGGTGCTAGACAACTTAAAAAACACTTGCCAGAAGCAGCTAGTAAAGACCGAATCCCTGTCACTAATTATGGAGCGAGGCATACCATGTAATTTTACCCATTGTCCACAAATATTTCTGCCACAGTTTTAGCGGTGTAAGGGTGAGCCAAAGCGATAAAGTGCAAACTCTTGCTAAGATGATCAATCACAACCAAGATAGTATTCTTTTCGTTTGAGATAGACAGTCCTTCAATAAAATCCATGGAATATCATCCCATATTTGGGAAAGGATTAACAACGGTTGGAGAAAGTCGACTGATGAGAGTGTCTCGACTTTGACTCGTTGGCAGGTGTCACATGTTGTTACATATTCTTTAATATGTGGGTACATGGCTGGCCAATAAAATTGTTGGGCCAATCTTTTGTAAATTTGTTGGAAACCTGAGTGGCCATCTGTCAAAGATGAGTGGAATTCCTATAATAATTGTTGTGTGATTTCTGATTTAGGAGGGACAACAATTCGATGTTTAAAATAAATCAACCCGTTCTTGAGGGAAAATGAACCATCTGCTGAGTTAGTGGCTAACTTGCGGGCTGTCTGCATATAGGGATGATTTGCAGCTTCTCGAATGGTGTTCCACAAATTATTTTTGGGCATAATAGAGATAGTGTGTAGAGTGGGGCTATCTTCCCTACGAGATAGAGCATCGGCGACAGAGTTTTCTTTTCCTGGTTTGTACACGATCTCATATTCGTAGCCAAATAACTTAGAGAGCCACTTTTGCTGTTCCGAGGTTGTAATTCTTTGGTCCAATAA